GAGGCTGCTCTTGCCCTGCAGGGACCTCAGCCTCATCCAGGCCCATCTTGCTCCCAAGCCTGCCTGACTTCACCTTCCAAACATTTACTGACCTGGACTATACCAGGACCAGGTTATAGCAGGGAGCCAGAGATACATGGCTAGTGCTAAGTACTGAGAATAAAAAGGCGGATGTGCCACGCTGAGTTGGGGCTGGGGGTGAGGGTGAGGGTGAGCAAGGGCCTCGTGAGGAAGTGACCTTGCCCCAACCTGAATACTATGAGGAGCCAGCCATGAGAAAACCTTGGGGAAGTGTTCTGTACTTGGGGAATAGCTCAGGGTGGAAGGAGCAAAAGGAGGCCCTGGAGGAAGAAAAGGTAATGTCGCAGAGGCAATCCTGCAAGCCCGTAGGCCTCAGGTGAGCATTTGAGTTTTTCACCCAAGTGCACTCCTGGAGTGCCAGGATTCAAGTGTCCTCTCCTCCCAGAAGGGCCCTCCCTCAGCTGTGTCCAGCCCCGAGCTTCCTGCAAGGCTGTCCTCCAGGAAGACTACTAATAAGGAAAATAAACTGGTGACGTGACGTACTGAGCACGTACAGCACGCCAGACACAATGTTCAGGACGTTACATTTATTATCTCATTTAATTCTCAAAAGTTCCGCCGGGGAAGATACCACCACCATCATCAGTGTCATTCCCCAAAGTTCCAGCTGAGTAACAGGGAAACCAGCTTCAAACGAACATGAGCTGCTAATGGGTGCTTTTTTTTTTCCCCCCAAGGTTTTTGCCATAGAATGCGTGTGCTTACCGGAGAGGGCCAGAGAGAGGCAGAGAGAAGGAAAGTGAGAAAGCACCCTCCAGGGGAGATAGCCCTACCACGATCCCTTCTCTGTTCTTCTCCTGGGATTTTTGAGCCTGGATGCAAACATGCCTGATGTGATTTAAAAGCCACTGGGTGTGGGACCCAAACCATGATGGACTATACGGAAATCTAGTACCTTAACCACCACACCATCTGCTGGCACAAAAGGGTACTCTTGACCAAAGAATGCACGAGAAATCCTTCAGTTCACACATAGGACTCTTCTACAAATACTGAGCTCCTTTCTTCCCCTTTCCTCCTCTCCCTGCACAGGGTGGCCTGGGCAGGTCCATTAACTTGGCTGAGTTGTCCCAGCTGTGCAGGTCACATAGCCACGCCCCTTTCCTTTCACGGGGTTTGGGGTGGGCTGGTTGGGACAGGTCCCTTGGCTCAGCTGAGCTGCCTTGCCTCTGTCCTGGCAGCCCTGAGGGCTGACCTGTGCAGGAAAAGGACGGGGCAGGCAGTCATCTCTCCACTTGCACTGACCCGGATAGGAATTACAGGCATGCAGAGGATGACCCCAGCACTCATCCTTCCCTTCCTGCAAGGCCTCTGACCTCTGGAGATGAAATAACCACTTTGTTCAAGTTCCAGAGTTGTTATTTCCTCTGGCTGTGGAGATCAAGCTGCAAGGTTACTCAACACCTCGGTTTTCCCACCTGCAAAAGGGGCCGATTACACCTCTTAGAGGAGAGAGAAAGGGAAGGAGATCCCAGGCTAGCTCTCTGTGGGCCAGTCTCAGTAACTTCCTCTGTGAAATAGGAAATCAAGCCCAACCCTATCTTCTTTGACAGCTCCCACAGGTAGTCACAGACTTTGGAGGACAGGCGGTTCTGAAATGAGAGGTCAGAGAGAACCAGGACCACCCGGAGAGTGCTGCCACCCTTGCCCCCACCCCATAGGTGGAGCAGTTGTCCCAGTCACATCTCCCGGACCCCATGGACTAGGGCCAAGGAGTGAGGTCCCGACAGTGGTATGAGGCCGTAACTCCTGGAAACATCCACGGCCAGCGGGCGCGGGGATCCTTACAAC